TATCCGCCGTTGTCTTGGCAACATCACCTTATGGGTCAATAATCTGATGAGGTACTAATATACCCAGGAAGTGTCTTCTTTTCAATAACTGACTGTTTCCCTTTTTATCCTACAGCTTCTATGCCTATGCTTGTTTTCTTCATTATCAGTTCCCATTTAGCAGTGTTAAAAGCTTTTAACATCCAAAGAGATGAGTTCAAATTTGTATGAGATTGCTAAAAAAAAATCAAAGGAGGATGTCAGGTATGTCTGACATGACATCCATGTTTTGTTTTACCCCATTTTCCAAGTCTTTAGTTCATAGAATAATAGAATATCCTGTGTTGGAAGGGACTCACAGGGATCATCAAGTCCAACTCCTGGCCTGAAGTATTATCCAAGTGTTTCTTGAACTCTGTCAGCCTTGGTGCTGTGACCACTTCCCTGGGGAACCTGTTCCAGTGCCCAACCACCCTCTGGGTGAACAACCTTTTTCTAATATCCAACTTAAACCTTCCCTGACACAACTTCAGGCCTTTCCCTTGGGTCCTGTCACAGATCACCAGAGAGAAGAGATCAATACCCTCCCTTCCACTTCCCCTACAAGAAGTTGTAGACTGCAATGAGGTCTCCTCCAGGCTGAACAAGCCAAGTGTCTGATCTCAGCCACTCCTCATCCAGCTTGCCTCCACCATCCTCATGGCCCTCCTTTGGACACTCTGTAATAGCTTTATGTCTTTTTTATATTGTGGTACCCAAAACTGCACACAATATTCAAGGTGAGGCTGCCCCAGTGCAGAGCAGAGCAGGACAATCCCTGCCCTCAACTGGCTGGCGATGCTTTGCCTGATGCCCCCCAGGACAGGGTTGACCCTCCTGGCTGCCAGGGCACTGCTGACTCATATTCAACTTGCCATCAACCAGGACCCCCAGGTCCCTTTCCATGGCACAGCTTTCCAGCATCTCATTCCCCAGTCTGTACAAACATCCAGAGCTGCCCCATCTCAGGTGCGGAATCTGGCACTTTCATTTGTTGAACTTCATGTGGTTGGTGATTGCCCATCTCTCCAATTTTTCAAGGTCTCTGTTCAGGGCTTCTCTGCCTTCAATGGAGTCAACAGCTCCTCACAATTTAGTATCATCAGCAAACTTACCTAGTATGGCTTTGAGTCCTGCATCCAAGTGATGTTATTCTTCTCTTCAAAATTTCTTCTAAAGCCCTGCATGGTACTCAAATCAGGTTGCAGGGCTCAACTCACTAGTTTACATTTTTTTCCCTTCCCTTTGAGGACTATGTGTGCTGCTTCTCAGTTATGTTATCTTCTTCAGATTCATAGATACACGACAAAACTAGCTATCAAACCTAGATTCATATGCTGATTCTTGCAGTGTTTTTCCTATAGAGATTATCTACTTTCTGCTGAATGTGCTAAGCTCCTGGAGTTTTCTTTCCATTCATTTGCTATTTTTGTATCTATGTGATATAGATAATTCCCGTTATGTGCCTCTTTTCCTTTTTCAGTATTGTCCTACTTGTAGAAAACTGATTATTTCTTCAGTTATATCTAGAATCCATTTAATCACTATCCAATGTAATTTCATGATAACTTCAACTTTTATTTCCTTTTTAATATTGTTTATATTAAAATTGTTGATCTTTCCAGGGTCAACATTACCTTGATTTTTGGTAATTCTTCCTTTATACCTTCACTTCCTGGCCTCCAAAACATAATTTTCTTTTTTTGATATATATTTCCTTCTATGCTTTATGAGTTCCTTGTCTATATGTAAGAACCTAATTGGTGTTGTCAATTCCAACTAGAGAATGGTTTGCAATGACCTTTTACAGTTTTTTTCTCTTTGCTTGAAAAACAAATTTAAATACATATTTACTTCTTTTTAAAAAATGTTGTGATAGTGTAGAGTTTGGTGTTAGAAAAAAGAATTCTGTGTGCTCTATCTGGTCATACTTTCAAGATTCAAGTACCCAGTCGTACTTTCAAGATTCTTTTTCTCAGTAAGCAAACATTCAAAATAAAGCAATACCTTTGAATATTCTGAGCTGTTCCTGTCTCACTAAGAAGGAAGCTAATTCAGAGCCTCAGATGTAGCTGTGCATCTGTGAAAGGCAGCAACCTTTGAGAGGAACCCTATGATGTGCTGCTGAAATAATGTGATTTATTATATTTTTTTCATTGCTATACTTAGTTATACACATATTGTAACTGCATAAAAATGCAGCAACAGAATATACATATGGTTATTTGAATGTCTAACCATGTGTATGTGTAGTATTTATGTGCACAGAAGTGCATGGAATGCCAAAAATTTGACCTTAGACAAAAGATTTGTAACTGCTTCACATATTTCCAGTTAAACATCCAGCTGTTGTGGGAGGTTCCACCTGAGTGTTTGCACAGTTTTTCCACCCATCCTCCCCCTCATGTTCTCAGAGGTGAGGGAGTGTACAAAGCCCCTGGAGGCACTCAACTTCACTCTTCTTTCCTCCTGGCAGAGTCCCCCTCCTGCTGTGCTTTTGGGAAGTGCTGGCTCTGGGGATAATGACAAGCAAGAGAATTTGGGTTTTGTCAGGGTGCGTCAGGGATGTGGGATACGATGTGCCCTTTTCTCCAGAAGATCATCCCAGAGAGAATGGTAATTAACATGGAAGAGGGGAAAATGCAGCCACGGGAGTTTTCCTACTTGGGAAAATACTTGGGGTATTCACAAAGTTTGTATCACATCCTGAGTTTTACCACCTTCATATAGCTGAAAGGAAAACTTTGACATTTGGACTTGTCTGATGTTTTCTGGCTGTATTTGTGGTCTTCACATACCTGCCTTTATTTTTCATATTCAAAGAAGAAGGGAGATTATGTTTGGTTTAAATGCTGAAAACCATAAAACTGTTAGCTAGCTGTGGGTCATAATGGTTACATTTGAAGAACCAGATATGAGGATTTTGTTTCTTCAACCTGTATCAGAATCAGATGAGAAAGAGTTGCAAGACTAAGCATCTAAGCATGGTCCTGTTTGCAGATTACATACAAATACAAATGAAACCTACCTACTCTGCAGATACCCTTAGCATTTCAAGTGCTACAGGAAAGTCACATGAGCTGTGATACTGCAGCAGAATTTGCTGCCAAATTCTCTGGATACTTAAGGACACTGCAGAGCTCAAACTTCTGGTGCTCGATATTGTTATTCTTACTCTTAGGAATAAATGTCCCAGTCCTGTATGTCTGTGAAGTGATTCAATACTGTCTGACTTTGCAGGGAAATATAAGCAGCCTGGGTGAGCACGAAATTGTTGCTTTCCTGTAGTCTCTCTTGGTTTTCGTAAAACCTGCTCAGTGTTTCCCCACTGATTGTTAGGCACCACCAACCAAAATTCATATGCAGTGACCCTTATGAATGCTTGAATGTTTGGCAGAATTAGGGCATGACCTTTGGAAATAATGGGGGTGTTTTTTTACTTCATTTGAAATCAGCAGGATCTGCTAGGACCTCTAAAAATGAGATTGTTACTGTCTGTAGTTCTAAGAAATCTGTACTTGAATGTATCTGACAGAGGGCTGCCTATTGTGGACTGTGAGAGTGCAGTATCTGACAGGGCTTTGGAAATTTAGGGACTGAGGTGTTTGATGGTTCCACAGCATGCTGCTCAACAAGCCTCACAGATGGGGTAGATGAAATCAGTGCACTGAAAGAAAGCCAACAGGTCAGCTCTGTGTCCTCAGCAGAGGCTCTACTGAGAGGATCTCTTCGGATCCCTGCTGAAGATCAGCATGAGCTGAAGGGAAACTGCCTACCAAAACCGTGTCCTCAGACCAGGAAGGCAGGAAGGATCTCCCAGAGTACACGGCCACTGCTGGGAGGGCTGGTTTCCAGACATTGTCCTTTTCTAGCTGTTGAAGAGATGAGCAAGAACCATGTTTCAGGTTTGTTCAGGAGCTCTGCACCAGAGGCAAAGCAACAGCACATTCTGTGCTTCAGCCGCTGCTGCCAGCAGTTTTGCAGGGCCACACAGGCACCAGCAGATCAGTGTTTGTGCTGATCACGCTCTGGGCAGAATGTATTAAATCTATCATTAAAATGTCACTTTCATGTAGGTTCATGTAACAGAACGGGGATTATTTTGAGGCAACCTGTGAGAGAGCAGTCCTTGGCAATGAGCAAAAATCAAACAGCCAAGCAATAAAGCCTGGCACATTTGTTTGAGTTTGCCACCTGCAGGTCCCACATTCCCTACCCTGCCAACAAGCCCATTTCTTTGTCTCCAGAGCTCTGTTGCAGTTCATCTTCCACAGAGGACAGTTCTTCTGTAGTGGAGCCAGGGAGGTTGGGCTATTTCTGACCTGACGGTGAAGGGCCATCATACCCTAATGCCAAGCTAAATTCAGTTGTGTTATACACTGCAAGGGAATTCCAGTTCCTATTTTGATATTCCAAAGACACGATCCTTGGATAAAGCTTTGCTTGGTCAATACCATTTTTGCAAAAGAGGACATCCGGATACTTGCAATGTCATATTACCATCCCTGGTGTGGTGATCCATGGGTGGACATGTTGCTTCCACGGTCTGGAGGAAGTTAATGGATGGAGTTCTTTGAGAAGCCAAGGAGCATATCTGTGGAATGGCTAATGGCAATTAAAAATTGCCATACACAGTGGCAGTAGCAGTTTTGCTCAAAATTATCTCTGAGTGCAACAGCCTAAACCAGCAGGAATGATTAAGCTTAACAGGATGTCAGTAAGACAGGCAAAACTTACTGCTTTCACAGCAGTGTTTTTTTAAGACCTGTGGATCCTTTTAAAGTTGTAGTATGGTCTATATATGTGTATGAGAAGACCTCAATTACTTAGAAGTGACAGGGCTAGATCAATAACTACCATGTTATTTCTGGAGTATGCTTTACTACTTCTGGAAGTGAAATTTGGTGAGATTGTTTTACAGATTTCAGCTTTGATCAGTGTGTTATAAATATGTGTGCTTATATGTTATGTTTGCTTTGCAGCTCCTGGTTGCTAAATCGCCTGTTTCTCCATTCTCCGCTTTTTTCTACACCATTGAGAAATCAGGCTTGGTTCTTCAGGGTAAGATGAGAGCATTGGTTGTTTTGCCTTTTCAATTAGTATTTTAAGCAGACTGAATGTAGATAACAGCAACTATTGTTGAAAATGGTGCTATTTATGACTAATTAAAGCCCCACACATTTAAATAGCCTGGTTGACGAGGGCAGCCTTGTGCTGCATTTACTGATTTGTCTTGGATTACACTAAATTAGTTTTTCTATATTGCCATGGATCTAGGAATGGGCCCTGAAATTATTAATCAAGGCTCCCTGTTTTCCTTCAAGGTAAAGTGAAATGGTTCTGGTAACACTGGTCCTATGGGATAGGTTTCTTCAGGAAGAACATACCCATCTATCATTAATAACCTGCTCTAATAAATGTCTCTTCTTTAGCAAGTGGCTTGACATCAGTCAAAATACAGGAAATTAATATCTGTTTTCTGTATTTATGATCATTTTAACGCTAATGCCCCATGGTCTTAAATAATCCTCAGATTCTCTGGGATATGAAGTAGTATACTGAAAAGCTGGATATTACCACCATGATGGCAGGGAACTAGGATTCCTTGTGGCCATGTCCTAAATCATGTACTTTCAGACCACAGCAAAGAAAAAAGTTTAGCTCTTCCCTTCTTTTCCCCATTTATCCCAATAAATATCCTTACTTTTTGACAGACATTCATAGACCAATTTTGTTGAGTTGCTGTCTGTTGATATGCAGCCTGGCTCCTTATCGCTGCATCAGTTTAACAGACTAAATAAAACTAGTCAGTGCCTGTCAGCTTTTACTTAGAAGAGACAGTGTGATATGCAGCCATGGCAGTAAGAAGAGTGAGTATAGCTGTTTCTCAGGTTCCAGTGATCGGGAATTACTGATCCCAGGAGTGACTACGGACATTTTAAGGGATGTGAACAGTTCTTTCTGATTGCATGTTTTTCACCTTCAAACAGGCCATACCATACCAATGACATTTATATTTCCTAATGACTCAATGTGCTTACATCTCAGGTGATGCAAAATGTCAGAAAACAAAAGAAATAAAAATGTTTTGTGGTGTATTTTTGCTTCCATTTGATACATCTACATAATGATAATGGGGACAGAGGTCCATCCAGTGTTTCTAAGCCTTTAGATACTATACTCAGTGTATCCTTAGATAGCATTTTGGGCATTTGATCTGCCTTATTTGGTACCTGTAATTGTAAAAGTCTATAGGAACTAGAAAAAAATTTTATTAGTTTAAACTGAGGTTACTTGCAAGAGTTGGTCTTGACATGTTTTGTTTCAATGTAGGGCTGAAGATAAGCTACTTTTCTATCTTGGATGTCTTCTGGATTACATAGATGTTTCTGGTCATTATAAAAAAAATCAGTTTCCTGCTCTGTCCTCAGGCACTAATGTAGTGAAACTTTGGGAAAGAAAGTTTTCCCATTTCAGAAACAGAGAGCATTTGTTCAGAGAGGATGTTTATTTTTTCAGTTCTTTTCTGTGGGCCATGAATATAGCTTTCCCAGGACTGAACCCTACCTTTAAAGAACAAATGGGCCTGTTTACACTTAATGATGATGGAACAGCACTTTCTGATAGAAGGGTATCACTGTATTAGGAGTGTGGCAATTGCTGTTTTTCCTATATCTGTATGTTTCTGGGGTGTAAATTTAAAACATCATTTGCCATTTTTCTAAAAACAGGTGAGATACCAGTTTGGATTTCTTTAAATAAATGATATCTCAATATCAGACATTCTTTGTACATTTTGGAAGGCAGCTAGAAGCTTGTCTTTGTGTGAACCGTTTATTACGTTGACTCATATCATCATCATGGCCAGTCTTCGTGAACAAAGATTTGGGAAAGGTCTCTACCCACGTTTGCTACAAGCGTGCTGGTGATGCAGGGCTTTGCAAATATGGGTAAGGCCTTCGAGCCTGCGCAATGGATTTTTTAGGTGAGACACAGTATGTGCTGAACTGAGCCCACCCTTTAATCCTAAGGTTCATCTGCCAAGGGCCGAGCGAGCTTGGACGGTGGCAGTGAGGTCCTCAGGATGTAGGTTTATTTAGAGTGACCTTCTCATAGATGGATGGCCTTACAGGGCTGAACGAGCTCCATCTGCCCGGGTTTGGAGTTGTCCTTCTCTTCTGTGTGTTCCGGGGCTCCCCCTCTCATCTCCCACGATGGCACTGTCCGCACAGGCGAAGCTCCCACTCTCTCACTCCTTTCCGTGCCCAGGGCCGGGCTCGAACGATTACATTGAGTACACCATTATGTTTCTACTTCAGATATTTTTCTCCAACACAGGTAGCAAGGAAGGGCATGATTCCCCTGATAATGTGCCTCAAGTGTTTTACAAGACACTTGTAAGCACTTACATGTGAGCCATCTCCCTGACCTGTGCAAAGCAAATATTGCATGTTCTCATCCCGCATTTCAGTGAGCATTATTTCTGTGGAAAGAGGAAGTGAGCAAATCACCAGGAAATGGCTGGTTTGGATTAGATGCAGAAAGTGGCACCAGGCTACCTTGTGCAAGAGAAGCTAGAGTTTTCCTGGGAGTTGTAGTTGGTGCATCTTTCCAAAGGGAAGCTGGATACAAGGTAAGATGAGAGCAAGGTAACTGAACATGGATCAGCTGGTGATGGAGTATCTCTGTGTTACTGCTTAAGAGACATCATGTAGCACTAACAAGTGGAATCTGTCCTGCAGCCTGACTGCAAATGCAACTCTCTCATTCAGGCTTTGTTGTTTAATTCAGTTGGTGTCAGGAGGTGAGCACATTCAGTGTGGCTGATGAGAAAAAGTGGATGGGTGTGGGAACTGGTGAGAAGCAGCAGCTGGCTGAAGTGCCCAGGATTCTTTCTTTTTACTCAGGGGGTCCCATCCCAGGACCATTAACCAATAGGCCATAAACAAATTGATATCGGAAAATGTGGCTGGAAGCTCCTTGATTAGCGAGGGTGAATGGGGAATGAAAGACAAAGTGAAAGTGTGATTTAACAGTTCCACAGGCAATTTCCATTGCCACCTCTGAGGGATTAGGATGTGTGGAATAGGCTAAAAAAAAAAAAAAAAAGAGGAGTAGCTCCCTCCCTCTTTGTTCTGTGGACTGGAGGATAATAAAACGGCAGGAGAGGCAGTGTGGCTAGTTAGGGATTTCACCGACTGCTATTTGATGCAGTTTAAGGAGCCCTTCTGCTATTGTTGCAGTTAAAATGAGAAGCGGAACTGTTCTCCATTCGCAAAAATCTCCAGCGTCCTCAGGAAGAGGGCTGAGAGCAAAAGGCTATTAAGATGGTAATGCTGCCCCATTTGGAGGAGTGTATCAAAATCCTCTTTGTCAATGTAAATCGCTGTTCTGTTTCCCTGGTATCTTTGCATCTAATGGCCTCTGCAAGCACAGAAGTTTTTGGAGGAGACCCTAGTGAAGGCAGAACTGCTTCTCTTTTATTGTCAGAGGAGATCTCCAGGCTGCCCAAGGGTGCCATGGAGAAAAATTCTTTGCTTTTATAAACTTTTAAGTGTTCAGGGATGAAGAGAATCCATTTACTCACGCTTTAATTCCACGTTCAGACTAAAGAAATTAAATTTGATTATTCAAAAGCAAGATTGGACAGTCAGAGATTTAGCAAGGAAACTCTGGAGTTTCCTCCTTTAGTTGCTTCAGTATGCTCTGTGCTGTGGAGGGAGTGGACTGCAAACCCAAAAATATCCCTCAATTGCCTTTACAATACAATGTCATGTCATGTACTGCCATGCTGTACAGTGACACTCTGTAATGAACCTAATTGTGAGTGCAGAATCCAGTCTGCCAGCAGATCTCTGTTTTACAGAGATCTTAGACAAAGAGGCAGAAGCCTGGATCTAAGCACTGCAAAATGTTGGAAGTTTAGCTGTCAACTTGTGTATGCTGTTTAAGGACTTGCTGTTGCTTCCCTATTTCAATATTTCACAGTTAAAGTGAGTGCAGTTATATTGTTAAAAAGAAAAATAACAATAAAAAAGCTACAGATTGCTTAAGAGTGCAAGTCATAAAATGATTTTTCTCATTGGCAGTGATATAATTTCTGATTTGATTGGAAATTACTAGCTGGTAGTTCTGTTCCTAGTGTAACAGTTAGAAGAGATTCTGAGTTGTTCTTGCCTGGTTGTAGTTTTCTTGAAGTTGGTGTCAGCAACACCTGTATGTAGCACATGGAAGGTTAGGTCAGCTGAACTAGAAGATGCCACTTAGCCTTACACACACATATGCAAAAAACAAAGGCTGAATAAACTGATGTCAGTTTTAATCTGTATTCTGTAGATGATTTTCTGAGTCTAGCTTTTGAAGCAGCAGTGTTCTGGGGTATAAATACAAGCAAGCAACAAGCCTAGCTATTAGCAACTGATAACTCTGCTGTTTGTGGAAGTGTCATTCCATCTTATTTAAGTAAATGCCTTCTGTTACCAAGAGGATGGTGTTGTGAAAGAAGACAGGGAACACGGTGGCTGCTTGCCAACTTCAGACTCTAGTGCGACTTTTAACTGAATGCTTTAACTAAGTGATTAACATTGCTCTTCACTGAAAAAACTCAGAAGCACTGAAAACTTAAGGCAAATTATATTAGTGAGCTAGGACTTGCTTTTGAGTAATGATTTATTTTCATAGGGTTTAAAGATAGGTAAAATTAGCAATTCATCCAAACTGACCTCCTGTATATCATACATGTTTCTTTCAGGTACCTGGTAACTTAGATTACACTGAATTATGTCTTTTAGAAAGGTATTCACTTTTGTTTGAAGACATGTGAGTACCTGGTTTGCCTTGATAGTGTTTTCAAGTTTTAGCTACCTTGCTGCTAAACACTTGTTCTATATTTCAGATTAGAATTTGTCTGCCTTCAGCTTTTAGCCTCAGTTCTTCTCATGACCTTCAGTGCTAAATAAAGCTCTGTTGCTATCAAATGGTTGCTATTTTTCATGAGTGTACTTGGCATTGTGATTTCTCTATGCTATGCTATATTTTACTCTTCCTTTTGAAAGAAAGTT